AACTTGACTTAGCTTACTAGATCTAGATCTAATTTTAAGAACTGCTCTTTGCGCAGATAGTTTTTTACTTTGACACATGAAAATACAAAATATAGTCCATTGATTTCATTATTTAATAAAATTAACCTTCAAATTTGTGTTTCAAAAGAATTTTTTTACATAAATTTGTTCCTTATATATGCGAATGTAAAATTTCTTTCATTAGATAATACCGTAATGTTCCACATCTTTCTTTTCCTAGGTCTAAAACTCTAATACAACTTTAAGATGATAGAGCTTCTCTTCTCTTCGTAAAGATAATTTTAAACTTAAACACATTAACATATTAATTATAGTCCATTCATTTAATATTTTAATCAAATTAACATTCAAATTTGTTTTTCTAAAGCATTTTTCATGCATTCGTTCGCTAAAATCATCTGTTGCGAGGATTTAAACTAAAAAAAATCACTTTAAATTCAAAACCCCATTTAGCTACGGTCATAGAATTTGGTGACTGTAGTTTGCTTTAGAATAATATTGAAGAAAGAGGTTTTCAACCTCAAAGCTCTGTAGAGAATTTTAAACTCAAAACCATCTGGAGGGGGTTTAAACTTTTAAAAAAAGCATTTTGAGCGCTTAATTTGCTTTTTTTCTATTGAAGAGGTATTTTTTAGCTTTAAATCCCGCTGGCGGGGGTTTGAACTCAAAACCCCTTTGGCTACGCTCAAAGATTTTAAAGTGTGTAATTTGCTTTTTTTTAATTAAAGAGGTATTTTTTTAGCTTCAAACCCCACTGGAGGGGGAGAGGTAAACTCAAAACCCCTTTTGGCTACACTCATAGAATTTTGAGGGCGTAATTTGCTTTTTATTTATATTGAAGAGATATTTTTTAGCTTCGAACCCCGCTAAAGGGGGGTTTAAACTCAAAACCCCTTTGACTATGCTCATAGCATTTTGAGTGCGTAATTTACTTTTTTAGAGGTCCCCTGAAAGGGGAAAAGACGCTATTAGTTTTGTGTGAAAAGTCTGTCCGTCTGTCCGTCCGTCCCGTTTAGATCTCGTAAACTAGAAAAGATAGTGATAATCCGATATCATAATATTTTAGTCCATTCAACGTTCTGATGCAACGGCTACTTTTTTCTTTTCTAAAAGCGAAAAATCTTATTTTTTTAAATCACTTATGCAAGCAGTTTTTTCATAAAAATACACCACTTTTACAACTATTCACTATTAATAGTAACAAACATTGGAGACTCTTTGGTAGGGAAGATGAATATTTGCCAATTTTTAACACATTTATGCAAATGGTATTAGGTTTTTTGTAAAATATTTTTATATTTTTATTACCACGTTATGTAAGTTTTGTCCTACTAACTACTACATTCACTTATTTAGTATGCATATAAGTTGGACATAATTTAAAAGTAGTTTTTCATATTATTGATTCTTGTTTTGTGAGGTACACGAAATAATTGTGCGAAATTTCAACTTTATCTGAGATTGGGTGTGGTGGGAGACATAATAATAATTATAGCCTTTATATAGCGCTACTCTCATGCTTATAGCATGCTCAAAGCGCTATGATCCCATCTCAGTTGTGGACCAGTGGTATTTGGGAGAAGGTTTTCCGTGCTGCCTTTAGGCACTCAGTAAACACAACTCTGCTTGAGTCGGGTGTCAAACCTCGAGCCCCCTTGATAGGTAGCCAAGACATGCCAAGTTCAAGCGTACTTAGACTCTCGACCACGCTTCCCACGTGTAATGTCAATATCACACTGATTGAAGGAGCTCTTGAGAGTGTCTTTATAGCGCTTGTATTGACCTCCCTGGGAGCGCTTTTCTGCACACAACTCCCAGTACAGAAGTCATTTGGAGAGGCGATATGTTGGGACATTTTTTACTGTCGCATTGATACTGTTCATAGTTGGACAGCTTTAAGATTTTTGTGTCTGGTATGTGGTCGGACCAACGCACCTTATGGATACTCCTTAGACAGCGTAGTTGGTAGGAGTTTAGCTTTTTGATGTGGCGGGAATATAAGGTACAGGAGTCTGGTGCATATAAGAGTGACGGTAGAACTACAGCACTGTAGACTTTTAGTGTTTTTTTTTGTTGTTTTTTTTGGATATGCTGAGTCCTCTCCGTTGCCACACATGTTCTTGAAGTCTGCCAAAAGCAGCACTGGCACGAGCAATACGGAAGTCAACCTCATCATCTAGGTTGACGTTTGTTGATATGGTGCTTCCCAGATAGACAAACGTTTTGACGTTTGCTAGCTTCTGCCCATTTATGAGAATGTCTGGTTCTGTGACAGATTTATTTGGGGGAGGTTGGTGCAGCACTTCTGTCTTTTTTACATTTATGGTGAGGCCAAAATTTATGCAGGCGTTGGCGAAGCGGGACAAGCTCTTTTGAAGGTCTTCTTCGTTTGCGGAATTAAGGGCACAGTCATCTTCGAGTAGCAGGTCTCTGATGCAGTCGTAGTATTTGAGCATTGAATAAACTTGCCGTAAACATTATGCTGAAAAGTGTTGGAGCCAGCACACAGCCCTGCTTCACGCCATTTGAGACAGGAAAAGGCTTGGAGTAGCCTCCGTTATCTTGGACTCTTGCTTGCATGTTATCATGGAATTGGCGCACCATTGTTATGAATTGATCCGGGCAGCCGAATTTGGCCATGATTTGCCAAAAGCCTTCACGACTGACGTTAACAAAAGCTTTATGAATGCAGTATCGAGATTTGAATTTTGCTCCTACAATTCTCTAGGAGTTGGCGGACTGCAAAGATTACCGCGTCTCTACACTGCCTGAAGCCGCACTAAGTAAGCAAGCCGGTTTCTAGGTGGTGTTGTATATGTGGTGACCATAAATCTTTGTTGAACGTCAGATATGTAGTTTGACGTCAGAGAAGTATTATCATAATAGTATGATTTACATTTTATGTAATCGAAAATTTTGCTCCTAAAATTGAGGATGTTTCTTTGGCGTTTATTTTAATAAATATTGATATTTTAGGTTTTTTGGCACATCGACACAATTTAGGCCATGTCGTGCCCATAGTCCCTCAAGGGTTATTCCCCCTTCATATCAAATACTTTTACAGTTAAGTCATTAAAAACAAGTTTCATTCACCTTTCAGATGGTAAAAGGATTCTTTAATAAAAATATTGTTAATAAATGCAATATCTTGTTTAATAACGATAATAAATTTGATAATTTTTCTTTAGCATGAACCGGTATTTCAATCAATCTCCAAACTATTTGAAAACATTTTTTTGGTAAAAAAAACAAACAAAAAACATCCCTTGAGACTTCAAACGATGAGAGATGGATGATACATGTTTGTTGATTTCTGGATCCCAGAAGTGAAATAAATGTATTATAAAATTCGTGTATCCATGACATAAAACTAATTAGATAGTAGTGGATCAAACTGTGCTACATGTTAATTAGAGATAATAGGCCTACCATCTGGAAGTTTTACATTGGTTACGTCCATGTAAGGGAAACTTGTAATAATATCTACTTAATGAAGGTTCTTATTTGTTGCAAGATTTTGGTACAGTATCAAGATTGAATTTTTGAAAGTCGATTTAGACAAAACGTAAATCTGAAACATCAAGTATCCGTGTCTCAGTAGCATGTAAAACAATTGGAGTAGAAACGAAGTTAGGTAGTGACGTGTTATTGTAACTATTTTGAATTATTTGTAGTATATATTCACATTATTTCTATCTATTAGCCGTTTGTTACTAAGTGTTTATGGAAACGGAAGGCGCGAGGTATGCTCGCTACGTGTGACTTCAAGAGCTGAACTCAATTCTCAGAACAATATCTTCAATGTGTAGTGTTACATTGGAACTACATGTTCTAAAAGAGAACTAAAATTCGGTCTATATGAAGTAAGCGTTCTAAGCCTATAATTTATTACAATTCCTGAAGCTTACTTCGTTAAATTTGTTTTATGTGCACTTTTAAGGAGTGCAATATCAAGTTTTCTAAGCCGTTTTATTGAGTTGGCAATGTTTTTGACAGTTTACTGGTACTAACTTGGTGTAGGACGACTTCCACTTATAAAACAAAAACCAAAAAAAACAAACAAAAAACCCAGAACAAACTCTTTATCATCACTGTGTTGGGGTTAAATCCCAATATTTATTGAGCTGTACACAGAAAAAAAATGTAACAAAAATAAACTACCATTAATTTCTGACGCATGCAGTCAAAGCATTTACTCTTCATTCACACTGCACAGCAGTTTCACCAAACATCCAGGTTGTATTTAATGAACACTTATATAATATACACTGTTCTCTGGAGGTACACCCACATGTACAATACAATATACATTGAATCCAAAGACTTTGCACTTGTACAAAATGTAAAAAAAAAAAAAAAAAAAAAAAAAAAAGCACTGACTCGTTACATGGTGCCAGCTCCCTTCTTTAAGCACCATTTGGTAGAAATTACAAATAAAGAATTACATAGCCTTTTGACTACCACCTTTCATATCTGAACCAGTTATGTACATAGAAAATAGTGACCTGGTGACCAGTACAGTATCAGTGAACTACTTTCAATAGACCATTTTGTGTGGACATGGAATTTATGGACACAACAATAAGATGGCCAAATTGAAATGTGTACTGTCCAAGCTCAATAAGAGGGGCCGACTTTGAAAGAGAAGTAAAGATCTAGAATAAAACTGTGAGATAATTAAACTTATTTTTTTGTAGTACCTTTCAGCAACAAAATATAAAAAAAAATATGGAAGAATACTATAAAAAAAAATTAAAAAAAAGAGCAGATATCACTAGGCATGTTGAGTTGGAACAGCACAAATCACCAGCTTTCGTCAAAGAATATCTGTACAGTAAAAGCATCAAGTAATGTACATGTTGAAGCTGAGAAAAGTTGTAGACCTAGTCATGTCTATGTGTGTATCTGGGCTACAAAATATATAGTCTATCATGGAACATGACTGATAAAAGTGACAAATCTGCAACTCAACAGAAATAAGGGGGGGGGGGGGGGGGGGGGGGGGGAAATGCATTTGACATCAACTTAATGTTATGTTTGAAGGCTGTTTAGGTATTGTTCAAATAATAAATACACAAGCCTTAAGAAGTGTATATATGCCATCCTGTCAGACATTACTGTCTACAATGTCAGTCCAATATACCTCACAATTTTGAAGAAGATCAAAATAAAATACCATGACCATAAACAAGTACACATGTTTTACAAAGCTCAGATAATTCAGCTCCTGAAGATATTCACTAAGTATCACTTAGGGCCACCACACCACCAGTAATGGGGTCAGAAGTCAGGATAGCTTGAACATGTATTTTTTTTTAAAACACTTCAAGACTACTTATATATGTACATGAAAAAAAAAAAAAAAAAGAACAAACTATTTGCTTTGTTCAACACAACCTAACAAAATCACAAACTGTACAAGGAAATACTTTATTTATATTAAATTCTTTTTTTTTCTTTCAAAAATTAGCTTACTATGAAAACACTAAATGGAGCAGAAGGACACAGTTCATAAGTATCCTAACAAGCACGTAAGGGCGGAAAGAGATATGTTATACAAAATTAAGACAATAGAACTATATATAGATGAAGCACAAAGATGATTGTCCTGTAATATGTCCTTTGCAACAAAGCCAGCAGAACTTGTCCAGTTGTAGGTCAACAAAAGTTAAAATAAAAAAAAAACCCATGCAAATGATAAAGAGAGAGACAAGAGACAGTGAAAAAGATGAGGAAAGAGCTCTTAACACTTGTCTTAGCAAAGGAGATGAACACAAATGATCCTGACCTGACCAATAGGCTTAACTCTATTTGTCTTTCAAGAAAATAACATCTATGTGAAGGGAGAGCTCAGCTACTTTGTATAGACTGTACATTTGAACTACATTTCAACTGTTTTGCTATCTTATTGACTTTTAAAGTTTCATTCTATAAATGTAACCTTTTGTTTTTAACTAGCACTTATTAGCAACATCACCCTAAAACGGATGTAACTTCCACTTATCATTCAACATACAAATTAGAATGGAATCAATTGAACATATTTACTAAACATTTTCAAGAATTTCTGTCCGATTCTTCACAAGTGTCACTTTTGAGATAGTATAAAAAAAATTAAGAGAAAGGCAACCATTTTGATTCCAACACTGCAGCCAAGGTGTTACATATAGAATATTAAGTTTAAACAAAAACATATGCATATCATTGCAGTAAGAAACAACAGTTCAAATGAACACCTGATTGTTGTTTCAACACCTTGAGGAGTGCTATTTATTTTACACCCTATTTTGATAAGATGCTTCAAAAGATGCCATGAGATCATTCTGTGCATTCATGTCAATTCTGTTGGCAGTCTGAAATATGGTACAAAAATATTAATGTGCTTTGGTTGAATATATAAAACAGCATTATCAATACCAGTAGTATAACTTTCTTAATTATTTTTTATTTTAAAAATTCCTAAAATATTATACATAATAAAATAAATGAAATTTTTTACTAATAAAGAGAGAGCAATAGTTTCTGAAATACCATAAGTAGTAGTATCTATTTTGAGAACAGAGAAGATAACGATGATATAGACAAAACCTAGTCTAATAACACTGTGTTTTTCACTTTGTTTTAAAAATAGAATTTATACATATGCTTACTTATTTTAAAATCCCTTTTAGGAAACCAAAAATGGGATATCTATTTCAAGCACAAAGAAAGCAATAAGAAACAATTGGATTTTTCAGTGCTTTATTCAAATTAGAAGACAACAGGGAGTATTAACAAAATTGTTGCTATTCTATACAGAAACCACTTCTAGCCAGCTTTTTGCTTCTGAGCTGTCAGCACAGAAACTACTTAAACTTATGGACTCTTCCCCCAGGACTCGATCCTACCATCTTCATCCTAGCAGAGGAATGCTATCTGCTTATGTCATCAATGGTATTGACACATTTTGATGCTCTAACATCCTTAAAAAGGCAGTGGTGCAACTAATGAACATGAGTATTTTAAAATTGAAGAACAAATGATATTCACTTACAGCCTCCCTCCTCATCTGAGCTGCTTTTCTCATCTGCTCCATTCGTTCACGCTTCTTTTTTTCTTCTTCTGCTTTATCCTCTTCCAATTTCTTTTTTCTAGCAGCCTCAATACCTTCTTCTTCTTCTCTTTCTCTAAAAAAAAAAAAAAAAAAAAAAAAAAAAAAAAAAAAAAAAAAAAAAAAGAATTAAAAAAAAATAGATCTCAATTTATTCATAGCCTGAATCAAGTAACAAAGATAAAAAAAATGGGTAATTTTATAAATAAATCCAGCTTTTAAAGAAAAAAAACTTGTTTACCTTTTCTTTTCTTCTTCCACTCTTTGCCTTTCTTTGGCCATTTTTTGTTTCTGTTCTTCAGCTTTTTTTAAATAGTCTTCTTTCTGTGATTTCATTTCACTCATTTTTTTAAACTGTTGGAAAGTATGCTGTGACTTACTCTGCCAATTAGCTGCTAAAGTGTTCCAGGACTGGGCATTTTTAATTTCAGTCTGTCAAAGTATATAACATCAAAATGAACTTCAAAAATTGTTTTTCCAATATATATTTCATAGATCTTCTTTGTTGCTTCTTTGAGAGTTATCAATACAAGATGAACACCAAAACAATTTTCACATAAGAAATAATTTAACTAAAATGGTTCTTATGGACTATATACATTGTAAATATGAATATTCTAAAACTAAACACAGTATTGATATGTGTAAAGACATGTATGCAAAGTTGTGCATTGGTAAAGCTCGACCAGCCTTCCATCAGATGAAGAACACCTGGGGATCTACCACCACCACCAAGATCAGGCTCTTTAATACTATTGTTAAACCAATACTACTTTATGGAGAAGAGACCTGAAGAACCGCCATCACCACCTTGAAAAAAATCCAGGTATTCCTCAATATCTGCCTGAGGAGGATACTATGATCCACTGAACAGACAAGATCTCGAATGAGGAAATGTGGCAAAGAACAAAGCAGCAGCCCATTGAATTAGATATCCTTCAGAGACACTGGAGATGGATAGGTCACACCCTTCGTAATCCTGCATCCAACATAACAAGGCAAGCCCTAACCTGGGCCCCCAAGGAAAGAGGGGACGGCCCAGAAATACATGGCACGTGATTTGGAAGCAGATGCCAAGAAGATGGGCAAGACATGGGGACAGTTGTAAAGACTCGCTCAGAACCGATATGCTTGGAAGAAGCTGGTTGATGGTCTATGCCCCAAAAGGGACCACAGGCAGAGATGAGATGATGTTTGCAAAGTTGTAAATCACTGTAGATCTGCAATGCTTACTCACAAATAATAGATACTGAATGAGCCAATATTGCACAAGGAATTACTTAGATAATAATTCATGATTTAAGATTAATAACTCAAGCAAACAAAAAATCAAAGATAAGCAATGGCAAGTTCGACCCTCATTCTGAGAGGTTGTGTCAGCATTAATTGTAATGTAAAAAGGATTAAGATGTATGCTTGTGTAATCACTCAAGGAATTTTGTGTGTTGTGTCTGTTGTCCTATGTGGAACGTGGTTATACTTTTTAATTTAAAAAAAGAATTTATACTTTTTAATTTAAAAAAAAAAGAGTCCTTGTAATCACAAAAAATGTCCACTAAGAATCAATAAAAGCAGACTTAGTAGGGATCAAACTGATGCTGGATGGTTTGTCTGAGTTCATAAATATTTGGAAAACTATGAATCATTGATAAATTAGTTACACAAATTCACAGAAAATAATGTATAGGTATGACACAATTAGTGCCAGATGACGAAGATGTCTTGATTGATGTTACAATATGTTTAATTGATGTTACATAAGATAGAGTTGATAAGACACTGCATTTCTTTAATGTTCAATTTTGTATAGTGCTCTCCTTTTAAACAATTACTGAATGCCAGAGATACAAATGTAAAGTATTGTTATAACCCTATTGGCGGCACGATAGGGTTAACTATAGGTTCAGCTGACACACACGTGAATCACTCAGGTCAGTGGGGCCATGGACAAGGGACAGTACTGCGATTACATGCAAATATGACCATTGTTATGGTCATGTGATCGAAAGCCTGCGTGTACGAGAGACACAGTGTGTAAGAAAGCGTCAGTTCAAGACCGGAGAGCGTTGAGACTGGGACTGTTAGTCGGCCATGGTCGAGTCCTCAAGTGTTATGTACGAGTCCAATAAGAAATAGAGACAGAAGAGTTCAGTACGGTAGTAGTAGTTTATTGTGTTGCCAATTGAGTCATATTGGCTGTTTTTATTGACCGTTATTAAAGCCTTTTGTCAAGTTCTTGATGTGTTGATGTATTGTGTTGTGTTTAGCAGTGTTTACATAAGGCCTGATTAGGAGAGAGAATCATAACAGTGTAAACTCAAAACTGAGATCCTTGCAATGTAAATACAAGGCTTTTATTCTAGAACTGGGAATAACTTTAATAATATACAAACAATTCAATTTAAACACATTACCACCATCATTTCAGTCCAAACTATTGATGTATCCATTTAAATACTTTTTACCATCCCCATCTTCCCACCTTTTGGAACCAATCAATCTCCTTTCACAAGTGTGGAATTTATCAACCACTCCTTTTATAGTAGGAAATTTCAGTCATTAGCATGCCGCCATGACCTTGTAATGCAAATATTCAACCAATGAAAGAATTAATAATTTATTTTTCAAAATGACCTTGCATAGTTCCATTCCACAACAAGGTATACCATGAATCCCAAGACACAAATCAGTTAACTTTTACTTGTGTTGAAGTAGAGAATTAACTTCAAAGAGTTACTGAAGTGACATAGTTTCAAATGTAATACTTATAATCCTATTTCAATATAAATCCAATCATAAATTAAACAAACTGTATTTTAAGCTCTTATTTTAAAAAGATAATTTCTTTCAGTGATTTTCATAGTTCAGCCTATTCATTAAAGCTACAGTACAATAGTTAAAACTCGCCTTACAATTACTCATATTATTATGAACTTTTAGAACTTTGTTCCAGTGATTAAGTAAATTTCTTCTATTTAACATTAAGATTTGATAATAACATCTGTAATTTATAAAACCATGAACTCAAATTTTTGTTTCCATCTGTTTATTCATTGTTTAATTTTGTTTAAGTCTGTACTTAGAATCTCGAATACCTTAATAAATTTTTTTTTCTTTTCAAACTTAAAAAAAAATTCTTGATGTTTATATGCTATGCATAATTAAAAAAACAAAATCAATATTAACAACAAACTAAATTACATTTTTTGGGGGCAGAACTGGAAAATTTCTACCACATTGAACCCTGTTTTAATGGGACAAATAGATTTCTTTGATTTTATGG